AAATCTATAAAAATTCTCTTGAAGATTTTGCGGAGTTCTAGTGGTTCTTTTGGGTTTTCGTCATTGAAAGTTCGGGAACTTCACGGTTTCATTTTGTTGAAATATATTTCAAGGAAAGTCAAAAGAAATGCCAATAGAATCATTTTATGGAATGCTAACAGAATTCTTATAGAGTTCTTTGACAGAGTTCCAATTGAAATCGTATGGAATTGATAATTTATGGTTCCAGTTTGGAAAGAGATATTTTAAAGGAAACGAATTAATGGAAATGAGGACTGAATTAATTTATAGAATTGCGATGGAACTCTGGGAGAATTCCCGGAGTTCCTATAGAGTTTCTGGTAGAAAATGGAAGATTTTTCCCTGAAATATTTAATGGGCTCAAAAATATATCACCAGGACTATTCGATCTCACATATATATGTACCGATATTTATTTTTTAATGGACACGGACGATTGATGACGATCGATCAGCACCTTGAAATATGCGTTCCACTTGACGTGGGCGCCATTCGGCTTCTGAATGTATATCCGGGCATATCCTACCGCGATGGGAATAGTGAAGTCAACCATATCGAGTCGCTTATGTGTCATGCTGAATTCTGAAATCGCCATATCGACTTCATTCCGTTGGAGAGTTCCAATAACTCCGTTCCATTTAGACGTTTCGGGGTTCCAGCTGCCATATCCTGAAGTCGTGATCGCGTGTGAAATCGAAAAATTCATCACGTGGGACAGTTCCTTCAGGAGTTCCCCCAGGAACCCGAAGAACTCCCCGTTCTTCTGCCAGATGTAACCAGATCCCTAGCAGATAAATTGGATAAACTAATTTTACGTCAGTTTTTTCAGGTGGAGAGTGACATTTTTCGTAATCACCTTGACGATTGCCACCCGAAATTCACGGCCTTCGACGGAGGACCTTCGGTTATACAGTGAACTCTCGGTGAACCACTCGATTTTCCTCCGCTCTTGGTTCCACTTACCGAGTTCCCTGGTGTTCGTGTGGTTCGTCGTTTTCGACCACCACTCGTCAATAATCCCGGAACTGCAGCACGAGACGAGTGCCTCGGAATTGAATCTGAGATTCAGTAAGTTCCGGTATGGATTACGACAGAACTTGCAAATGTCAGAATTCCCTTCACTGGTGAACAGAAATAACCAGACAGGATAACTCATGTCTATATGTGCTGCGAGTTCCCCGAAGTTATTGATTGCCTCCATTTTACTGAAGAGCGCGACAACTAGTGGCCGCACAGTTCTGCTATTGTAGAACTCCAATCGAGATTTGAATTGTTCGAAGTTCACCAGACCCATTGCTATCCTTTTTTCAGACATCATTTTAGTTATTCTGTGCCAGACAGTCAGCCTCGAAAACGCTATAATTCATTCATTTGAAAAATGAGAAGATATTAACAATAACTTCTCAAAATTGCTAAAAAAATTTACTCATTTTACAGGAGTAGAATAAAACCAGCTGAGCGTAATTTGAATGGGAAATATTATTTTAATAAGCGTTCAAAATCACGAGATGGGAGGA